GCAAAGATATAAATACATATATATATATATATATATGTATATGTATGTATATAAACGAACATAGATTTAGTCGCGCACGCTCGTTCATACATTTCTCTCGCATGTATGAAATATTATATAGTCGGAAGCATCATCGTTATCTCGTGACTTTAACCCTAAACAGTATCGGCGTTACTCAATAAAAATAAAAGAGAACGGAGAGAAAAATCTGTCTAGCTTTAACGATCAGTTTTGTTCCGGAAGGTTGCTTTTGGTGCTTTAACTCACAATAATAAATCTATCTATTGATATATCGCAGTGCAAGAGGGATATTTTTGTATTTTCGCACAAATGGAGCGTTACTGTTTCGGGTTAATAACGATGCTGCGTGCGATCAGCCAGCGGGCTGATCTATGAAGAAAAAAAGAAGAAAGAGGAAGAGATCGATACTATGAGAGTGTTAAACAGCCGTATACATTTATGACTGCAATAATATAAAAGATACAAGATATTTTATTACTTTCTCTTTTTATCCGAATATTCTGACATACTTTTTTAAAAAAATGAACCGCACCTTTGAGTCTCTCCCGCGTTAATTGTTACGTTTACCAAGGGATCATACGTGATATTTCGAATGTTCCATATAGTAACTCGATTGAGTTGTTACGTAAACTAGACTAATTGTAAGATCGCGTAACAAGCAACAGGAGAGAGTGACTATTTTATATGCGTTGCGAAAAGAGACGAAAAGATACAGAATAATTCGCTGTGGAGTGACCACGTCATGTTTCTTCTCCTATTCCAAGCGACGCGAAATTGTACGTTCGATTAAATTACACATATCAATCGTGATCGAGATCGAAGAGAGAAAAAAAAAGAAACGATAGGGCATCATTTTTGAAAAATATCGCATATACTGAAAATGTTGGAGAAATTTATAATATACTCTCTAAATTCTTTGGAGTAGAATCATTCTAAAGAATGAAATCTCACTCTCAAATATTGAAAATTCTGCCACTCTTTCTGAAGAATGACAAAATTTTCACTCTTTAGAATAAAATTACACTTCAAAGAATTTAGAGAGCACGTAACGTATATTATAACATTTTTATTCATTTTCGTATGCGATATTTTTCGAGAATATGACCCCTGATTGAATCGTTTACCTAAAAATCGGTAATCGCGAAATGTTGAAATGCGTGGAATAACGAATCAGTTCGAATCGTTCGTTTTCTTTTCGAAAGGTAACCATCGCTGTCTGAATTCCAGATAGTTAATTACATATCTTGAAACAAAGTGAAAATGATAAAAGTGAACAAATTTACTAGATGTAGACCAATGAAATTATAAATATTCTAGTAAATTCGCTTACTTTCATTATTTTCATGTCGTTTCAAGATACATAATCAACTTCAGTATCTCGGTTCTGTGACTTTAAATAACAGTATCGGTACCGTTATACTACAAGTACTATGTATAATGATAAAAAAAACTATAACAAGAATAAAGCGATGTCAATACTGTCATTAAAGCCCAACAATGAAAATTAACTTTAATCTCGATTCTCGGTTTAATTTTCTGTTTATTTTTTTCTAATTCTTATAAAAGTTAAAGAGTAAATTGGACTGTTGTGAGATTAAAGTTAATCTTACATTGGTAAAACGGGATCTTAGAGAGAATTACAGAATCAGGACACTAATCTATCTCAGGAGACGATCGGTACATCTCGAATTGGCGATTCGACTGTCTCTGCGTTCCTTTAGGCTTATTGCATGTAAAAAGGGGACCGAAACTATTTCACTTCGTCGAATTTTACGTTGAGGGAACACTAATAAAGAAAAAAAGATATTAGCGCTAATATATCGTATTTTTAGGTGATAGAGAGAAGAAGAAAGTGAGCGTTAGGAACCGACTCGCAAAGTGACGTAAATAGCGAAATCAAATTAAGATGAAATATAATGTATCACGTTGACGAAATAAATGAAATAAATTTGACTTGTTCGAAACGAATAAATCATTATTGCTTTCATCTTTTTAATCCCTTATATATATCCGGTAATTTTTTCTTGTCTTCTTCTATATATATATATATATA